AGAAGAGAGAAAATGCAAGCATGGCACAAGTTTAAAAATACCCCTACACTTTCACACCTCATAGATTTCAAAATATCTAATGCAAGATTCTGGAGAGATGAAATCTCAAAAAAATTCAGCTTCTTTAAGTTCACAGAATTTATTTCACCCAACTCTTCTACTACCGATATTTGGAATAAAATTAATTAGCCATAGAAACCCATATAAACCTATCCTTGGATTTAAAACCAGCAATCACATCTCTTCTGACCCATCCGCGATCTCCAACCAATTTGAAATTGTATGGTCCACTTTCTCATTTGATACAAAGTTTCCCTATCATTATAGAAGGGACAAAAATCGTACTTTGAACCAGACGTGCCCCCTAAGGGAGATGCATCGTAAAGCAGAGCTCATTGAGAAGCTAATCACAATGACCGAACCTGTATCAGAAAAGTAAAAGGAAGAACCCCTGATTTCGACAGAATTTCCTATAAGATGATCAACGAAATGCCTGCGGTTGGAAAATCCCGATTCCTCCGACTTCACAACAATATTCTAGACACAGGAACCATCCTGCAAAACTGGAAAATCGCCACCATCATTCCCATACCAAACTCAAACCAAAGTTCTCTTTCAACTAATGGTTATCACCCTATATAACTTCTTTCTTGTCTTTCGAAAGTACTAGAATGGATAGTAGCAAGTCGAATTGCATGGTTTACTGAGACACAGCACCTCATCAACTGTAATCAAGTTGCTTTCAGACCCAACAGAGGCTGCAACGTTGCCCTCCTTCACATTGACTACTATGTCACGAAAGCCCTCTCTGCCTGCAACCACGTCTCTATCCTTTCACTTGACTTTGGGAAAGCATTCAACCTAGTAGAACCCCAGGAGTGGGCCCCAAAATATTTTACTTTGTCAAATCTTTTTTAAAAAATCGAAAGTTTCAAGCAAGAATTCAAGACGCATACTCCGATATACATATATCCGTTAGAAAATGTAATACCTCAGGGTTCCCCATTATTTGTAATCCTTTTCAGCATCGCCTTTAATGAAATAAGCAATATTATAAAAACCAACCGTTTTGTAGATCACCGTCTCTATGCAGATATGATATGTACATTTTTTCAAAAGAAACAAAAACGTAAGACAAACCTGAATACCAAAAGTTTATTGAAGGATACCTTAAAATGGGGTGACTACTCCGGAGTTAAAATATCTTTGGAAAAAACTAAAAACTTTCATATATGTAGAAAGCACGTGTGTGATTTCCTCAATCATATATGGGTGTTTCCACCGGAAGGTCCACCACGACGAAAAAAATAAAAGTATTATATCTAACGTATTTACGGGCCGATTTGTCTGCTTTTTAAAATATATACTGGCTATGTAAGTAGAATCATGTTTGCGTAAAATGGTCTTCTTAGGTGGCGCCAAGGTTGAGATATTTCGAAAACCCGTATTTATTATCCGATTTGGTTCGAATTTGGCGTATGTAGTTGAAACATAATAAGTCATAGATTTCCAACAAATTTACCCTGAATTGGCGCTGAAGTCAAAATATAAAGTATATCCTACATAAAATACATGTTTTATTTGCGTTAAAAATTCATTTAAAAGCAATATTACCAAAAATATAACGATGGAAATTTATGTCACGTGACGCCACGCACACTTGGGGTTGTAAAAAAAAATTAAAACAAGTTGCATTAATTCAAAAAACTCTAAAAACAACTAGAATTGCTCCAAACCATATTAAAATAAGTTTCATGAAAATAGCCATCCACAATTCGCAGAGTTTTGCGATTTTGTAAGAAAAGAAAAAATCTACTTCCATTTTTTGTCACGTAACGACACTCCCTTTAAATGCTTATATTTCAGGACCAAGCGGTTCGATTGTTTTCATTTTTCTGTTAAATATAGAGCTAATTATGTGCTATACAATGGCCAAAAAAAATTTAAGAAAACAAATGGTATTCCTTGTTTGTATCACATTGAAACGTACGACTGTCACGTATGCGACGTATGAAAATACCCATATGAGGTATAAATAATATTGAGATCGAAAATGTAAAAAAACTGAAGATTTTAGGTATTATATTTTCTCATAAGTACCGGTGGACCTGTCACCTGTCTAATCTAAAAAAGCATTAGCTGCCAGAATAAACATTATTACATACCTTGCAAGTAAAAAATCTCATATACATATTAGTACGATTATATATTTAAGCAAAACACTACTTCTAAAATTGACTACGGACTCTCCCTCTTCTGCTACTCCCCAAACTCATCACTTAACATCTTTAAGCCACTATATCACCAAGCTGCGCGAGCGAGTATTTTTGCGTTTCGTACAACTTCCATAAAAAACCTTTTAGCAGAGAGTGGCTTACCAACAATTGAAGAAAGAGTACACCAAATTCACGCGAGACTAATTCCTAAACTCGTTTTTCCATCTAGCTCCATCATCGACAACGAAATCAAAAATATAAACCACGTCACAAGTCTTCCAAGATTTTCTTCTGCTATGCATCGAGTACTTGGAATCGCCAAGGAGCTGGAGTTATCCAACCCGGCGTAATGCTACCAAGAACAAAACCCACCATAGGAGATCAAGAAAGTATCATGCGACCTTAGTCTGTCCAAATTTAAAAAAAAAGTGATACATCGCCTGAAATATTCCTTTCTATGTTCAATGAGCGCAAGGCATACCATGAAGCCGAAAACTGGACTTTATTCACAGATGGATGGAAAATGTACCGGCGAGCTTCGCAGGGTTGACACAAACGGCGACACTCTAAGGGTGCAAACCTTACCCGACTGTGCACCCGTCTTTACTGCAGAAGCGGTAGCTTTCTACTGCGCAATAACGATGGATTTGGAAAACGATTGCAAATCCCTTATATGCACCGACAGCAAGTCCGCTCTTAAAGCAGTTCAAACCCTCTATCAAACCCAACCACCAGGGATGCCGTTTTGATCTAAATAGATCCAATTGGATACATTTTTACGAATTTTTGCGGGATACTTATTTTTTCCGGTCAGTATAAACGTGGATACTTTTTCAAAGAGGCCAAAATTTTATATTTCCTATAAAGTTTTTTTCGTTCAAAAATCGATTTTCATTAAAGATGGTAGAAAACATTACGGTTTATAAACGTATAAAGAATCGCTACTTAAGCGTGAAATTAAAGCATTTTATTTTTTGTGAACGAAGCAATGAACATATGAAGAGATCTCACCAAAATAGGTATAAGCGCAATTGCTTCAACTAGCTTAAAAGGATGCTTTAAGCAAGATCTTAATAAACATATCGTCGTTTAAGGTACAAAACCGCGTATCAACAAAATGCAAAACCGCGTATCAAGATAATGCAAAACCTCGTATGTGACGTTGCATAAATTATTTTCTAGAGAGTAAAAACACTTATATTTCAAAATGGTTCTCTTTTTTATAAAGCAATTGCACTTCTGGCTAGTATATTTCAGGACGAATGGATAAGGATTGAGCCAAGAGCTTGTGTGAGCAAATCCAATTTTTGGCAGCAAACGTCAGTTACGCGGTTTTGCAGAATGACGATACGCGGTTTTGTACTTTAAACGACGATATATATAAAGTAAATTATGCTCTTTCTGTAGTAATCTCTTTCATATCACATATTTTCATTTGTTAATTTAAAAAGAAAGAAGATTTCAATGTAGTTTAAAAAACTAAATGTGATTTATTTAAGGAAACTTTTATGAATTTTACTGAAAAAATTTTGTTTATTTGAGCATATTGAAAGAGGTAACCAGATTCCTCTTTTAATGTGTGCAAATTTGCACGCCGTGTAATAAAATTAATCATTGCCTGTTTACTTTTACACATAAAATGTTTAAAATAAAGTAATGTTTATTATTAGTAGGAAATCTATTTGTAGTTTTAAAATTTTTGCAATTTTAAATGTTCTATATATGTGTATTTATGTGTATATTTTAAAGATCTCAAGTTCAAAATCAAATACTTAACATCCTATACGTATATTTATACAGATTCTTGTTGAAAAATAGATACTTTTCAGTAGTAGTTTTACATACTCTTTTTAGAGTGTAATTGCTATTTATTATATTTACTTTGCAAAATACTTATGCACAAAAAATGTACTTTATAAATTGAAATTACAAATGTTTGATTTTATGCAGATGTATTCCAAGTCCTTAGGATGGGTTAAATTATGTCTTTTTCATGAAAATGTTTGGGTTTCTTTCAAATTATGAGATGTTTATGTAAAAAAAGAAAATGGGATACATTTGGATACATTTTTGGCTTGGTCAGGGATACATTTTCTTGAGACGGCGCGGAAACACTGCCAACCACCGTTGGCCGAATGAGAGATGCGCTCATTGGCAAGGAGAGAAACTTACGTTTACTTTGGACACCGGGTCACATAGGGATTCACGAGAACGAGATGGCAGAGTGTGCAGCGAAACTAGCTTCCTCAACACCGGCCACATGTGAAAAGAAAGATATGCACGCGACAATTAAATGATACCTTCACACCAAATCGAAACGAGGCTAAACTACACCCATCACTATTACACCACTATAAACAGAGAGCTAACAGCTCCACAATAGCCTAACGGATTTGGAAAACGCAGATAAAACAATTCTCCCGTCTACGCCTTGGCCATACTATAGACACCCACGAACACCTACTGACCGGGGGCCACCCCCCGTCTGTGCACACTGCGGCTAAACTCTCCTTAAACCACATATTTCAAAACTGCTCCGTTTTAGAATTCGCCAGAAATCACTACCAGAAAAAACTGAGTTGAACTTCTAAAAACCCCACTAAGGCACTCCGCACATTAAGCTCCTAATCATGGTAATGTAATCGTTTCAGCATACTAAAGTATAAAGCTTCTATGCCGAACACATGTATTTCAATAAAGCTCTGTACACTACGATTCAAAATCTTGTTTTCGCCTAATCATAAAAGCTTCATGAATCGAAGCGCCCACCATTGTCAGGAGCTAGGCTTTTTGAAATAGTATTTTGTTTTCATTTTACATACATACATATGTTCTCGTATTCAAGTTTTGAAAATACATTTGTCATTGAAAAAATAAAAAATAGTAAATAAACATGAACAATTTAGTGGCTAAATTTGTACTGATCGTGGAGAAGTATCCGTGCCTTTACAACAATACTCTGCAGGACTATTCAAGAAAGGATGTAACGGAGAAGGCTTGGGCAGCAATATCAGAACAAATAAATTGGTCAGGTATGTAGTACCACGGTCATAATATAACATTATAAGCAGAGTAGGCAAAAACTCGGAGTTCGAGCGAGCGAGCGAGCAAACTCCTACTCAATGCCTCGCAGGCAACGAGGCGCTCGCAGCTCGTACTCGTAGCAGCAATGTGGCGAGGCACGAGAAGTTTGGCTCGCTCGCCAAACGAGCGAGCGCTGCTTGTTTCCTCGTGCTCCTATTAAACGAGCGAGGCTGTTGTGTGTTGCCTCGGTCGCGGTGCGAGGCGAGTAGCTGTCTCATTACTCGCTCTGCTAGGTAAGACGAGTGAGCGACGAGCAAGCGCTCCGAGTGTACTATAAATCACACGCATTTTTGTGCATAAAAATGTGGGAATGTATGTCAATAGATTATGTACGAAAGTATGTTAATAATTGTAAGTACATATATGCATATGCATATAAATATGTGAATATTATATTAGGGCAGCATTTAGAACAACAAATAAAATTTATTACATACAAACAAATAAAATTTATTACATACATAAGCATAGATTATGGAATGAAATATTTTTTTATAGTTATATACATATATGTATGTATATGTACATACGTACATACATACATAACATGCATAGTTATATATGTATGTATGTATGTATGTATGTACATATGCATGTATGTACATATGCATGTATTTTGCCTTTACAGAGAAAAGTAAGTAACGAAGATATTATAATCGTTTGTGCCGCAGAAACAAAAAACAAGCACTTGTAACACCCCCAAAATAGTTTGCTACTTGTAGCAGTTATGCTGTATACCTGATGAATGAAATATAATGCTTGGTGAAAAAATTTATTTGTGGCCTGTTGTTGAAAGACATATGTATATATATATGTACATATGAATGGATATGGAGACATGGGAAATTTGCGTAAACAAAGAGGCTGGTTCACATACAACTTTGCCGTTGCGTTGGCGTTGAATTTCAAAGCCGTCCCATAGCCAAAATTTGCCAACGCTGAGAACAGACAAACACACATACAAAGCAGAAAGATCGCTGCGTCGGTCGCCAGCTGTTGCAAATAAATAAAATTATATGACATGTTTTTTTTCCTTTTAATCAAATGAGGGCAAGAAATATAATTTTTCATGCAATTATTGATATGAAATATTAATTTATCTCTCGTTAATATGTTAATTTAGTGGCCAAAGTAGTCTCTGCCAAGCTTCATTGTAGAACGCATACTTTTAACGTGCGTTCTGACAAACCAACGCCAACTACAAAGTCAACGCGAAAGTTCTATGTGGACCAGCCTTATTTATCAAATAGTAGTTTGTATTATCCTACATACATATATATGTATGGGGACTAAACCAGGAATATTCATTTGAAAATGCTAATGTCCTACTCATTTAAGAAATGAAAGACAAAATAATGATTTTTATAAATATTATATTCTCATTTATACATATGTAACATAGTTACTTAGCCGAATTACTTAGTAATTACTTGAATGTAAGAATACAAAGACAAATTATTTATCAGAAGCATTGCCCCTTACACATTGAAAAAAAGTAATAAAAGCTCTCAAAGAAGCAAAATCGCTACAGCGAAGAAAGGGTTTGAAAACCGCATAAATTCAAATCCGCATAACAAATAACCGCATAAAAAGAGACGTTAGTGTCTAAGTTGAAATTTTATAAGAAATTATTGAACATTAAAAAAATTATACCTACATACATAGATATGTATGCACATATGTATGTGCCTATCTAGTAGGTAAAACTGGTCAAAATAGCACGCATCTATTCTTCTGTGCATGAGAATATATACATAAATAAATATATACATGTATGTGTGTATATACATATCTGCATGCGTGCATGCAATCCTTTACTCAAATTCTTAGTTGATGCAATTTTTATCCCATATATTTTTGCTGACCAAACAACCCGTTTGCCTGTCTAATCTGCTTGCCTCATTTGCCTCATTTGCCTCGCTCGTTTACTCGCCTCGCTCGTCTGCTGCTGCAAATGAGTGCCTCGCTCGCAACGACGGCCTCGCGAGGCCAGAGCTAATGAGGTGCTCGTTTGCGTGCCGCTCTACTCTTGCGCTGCCCTCATTTGCTTACTCGCTCGATGGCTGCTCACCGCGTGCGCTCGTACTAAACGAGTGCTCGTTTGCAAACAGCCCCGCCTGTTCCTCGTGAGTTGCGCAAGCTCAGAGCAAACTAACGAGCGAGCGAGGGGCTAAAATGAGGCAAATCCGAACCCTGATTATAAGGTCGCATAAATGTCCGATATTTTAAGTTCTTATATGCTTCTCAATCTCATAAACCCTTTAAAAAGCAACAGTCTCAAAAAGATCCCACCATACGAGCAATATAGGATAGGCGATTGCAGTTATGTTTAAAAAAATTAACAATAAAGCATAAGATTAAAAAATAAAGAAACAATGCCCTTTATTTTGATTAGGGCAAGTTTAATGTTGATGTTGTTGAGGAGTTCAGCTAATGCTTCAAGGATCTTTGCTTAAATAAAGGTTTCTCTACCGACGTCATAGTTTTAGAGGAATTCGTTCAATGTCCTATTTGATAACACTAGAATCGGAGGATCATTCAATAGTGATGACTATATTGAGTCGGAAAGTCATAATGGACAGCAAAATTCCGTAATTTCAAAAGTAGCTTGGATCTACATATGACAGTAGAATAGGGTCCTAGTTAGCATTACATGTGCTAAGGGGCCAGATTAGTATTAAAACAGTGAAAATTATTTAGGATGTTTTGCATATGGTAATATGCGAGTATGGTATATAATACAAAGGTTGAAGAGTTGAACTTCTCAATTTTGAGTTGATATCCTTACGCTATTTCAAGTGACTAGAGAATTATTTTAGCTAATTAATTCAATTAAGTAGGGTAATTATGCGCTTTACTAGTTACAAAAACAACAAATAGCTTAGGGCCAAAGTGCTGCAATAACAACAGCAAAATCATAAAAACGCCAATATAATAAAAAAAATAGTCGCAATCGGTTCATTAAGCAATAAATGAGTATTTATTTTATTTTAAATGCAATAAGTCCATTGCCATGGTAAAGCGGAATTCGGACGTAAGAAATAATTTGCGATGTAGTTCCTTAAAGCTTGCGCAGTGGAGCTTTCGTCTACTATAATACTGAACGGCATTGGTATATTTGCAGNTGTAGTTCCTTAAAGCTTGCGCAGTGGAGATTTCGTCTACTATAATACTGAACGGCATTGGTATATTTGCAGATTGATAGTGGGTGTTTTCCCGAACTTGTGTAGTACTCGTATATAATGTGCCGTCTTTTTTGCGTATGAGCTTATGCAAACTGCATGCACACTGCACTATTGAAATAATTGTCGTAATTTTTGCAGCGAATTGTTGACATAAACACTTGAAACTTTTGGGTCACCATGCCGAAAGTGCACTCAATATTTTTTCGCGCTCGACTCAGCCTGTAGTTGAATATGCGCATTTTATTGCCTATACCTCGCTCTGGATATGGCCGCATTATATTCTTCCTAATTGGAAACGCAGCGTCTGCTACAAAGTAAAACGGAAATTTGGTTCCGCTCTCGTCGTGGGGTAGTTCTTTGGGTAGTGGTACTTCAGAGCTTCTTTCCAACCATAGCTGCAGCTGTGAAACTCTAAATACGTCTCCATCGCTGTTTCGTCCAGCAAACCTGGTCTCAATAGTTGTAAAAAATCCGTCCGCATCGCTACTGGCAAGTAAGATTATAGAATGATAGTTCTTGTAATTGTAATTAGCCGATCCAGACTTCGGTTACTTTTCAATGCGGATATCTATTGCACCTAAACAATTGGGCATTTGCCATAACTCATAAAAGCGATGCGAAATTCGAGTCCATTCATCGCGATTCGGCATTACCATATATGTTCCATTGAGTATATCCCAAATTTTTTTGGTCGTTTCTTCAACAGCGAGACCAATTGTGCGTTCGCCCCGCTGAAAATACAGCGCTAGTGCGGTATATGTACATCCGGTTGCTAAATATCTGCAATGAATATACATATGTATATTGTTTTGTCACCAAAATTAGTAGCTCAGTAAGGGAAATCTGGAGGTTTTTGCATGGTAGTTGTTTTTGAATTATTTGTGGGACCTAACCAGATGTGGAATTACCGACATCTTTAAAAAGGGTTCGGTTTTTTAAAAAGAGTGAAACCAAAATTTAAGGGCCTCAACTAAACTATTCCTAAACATTAGTACCCATCGTGGCAATCAAATCTTAAGGGTATTTGCATTAAAGTTGTCACCATGCAAAGATTTGCCAGATTACCATGTTTAAACTTCTGTGACTGAACAATTACTTTATTACGTTTTCATTCTTTTATAGTCGCTGATTGCAAAGACAAATGGAAAAATGTCCGAAATAATTTCGTTCGAAGTTTAAAAGAACCTCCAAGTGGTTCATCAGCAAAAGCCAAGAAGCCGTATTACTTGCATGACATTTTGCAGTTTATGCTACCTTATGTAAGAACCGTACAGCATTCAGAGAAGAACAACAGCAATATTTTGCTGTCCGATATGGATATATCGACGGAAATTGAAGAAACAGATACTGAACAAAATACTTCCAATTCGGTTTTCCAACCAGCAAAACGCAATGTTCCTACGCAATGTACAAGTAACCTAAGAAAGAAAAAAAAGGCAGGTAATGGAGCGGAAGAAATTGCTGGTGCTGTTTTACAAATTGTAAAAGAAAGGCAAGATAAAAAGGGACCTTATGAAGGTCGTCGATTGTTTTTAATGAGTCTGCTATCAGATGTGGAGAAGATGACGGAAGAAGACTACACGGAATTTAGAATTTACTGCCTTACAGGAATTCAAAAATTTATGAGAAATTCTACAAACAATTTTAATTTGCTCTCATCAAGCAGCGGTTCCGTGGTGAGTACACCTGCATCTTCGCCAACTGAAATAAAATTATTTCCAAATAGTGCCCATATTTTATGTCCATCGAGCAGCAATCGTTTGGCCAGTAGACCTGCTATTTCGCAAAATGATGTATCCTTCAATCAACCGTCAATAATATACACTAATAACAGTGACCAACATTTTAACGAAAATGTAACAGTCGTATTTGAAAATAACCAATGATTTACATTCACAAGTGCATGGTCATGTATATATGTAGTTATATTAATAAATGTAAATTGATTTCAAAATTTTACCTAAGCGTTATCATTAGTCGCTCTTCAGGGCTAATACATTCTCTGAACCTTGTATTTTATCTTTGAAGAGCCGGACCCACAAGCGAAACCAAAGAGTTGAAGGTGTTCTTAGACATCCTGTAGCAAGACTGAAATTTTTCGTCGTCTTCAGAGAGCTCCTTCGCAGCAATGAATAGTCGGCTCTGACTATTATTCCTTATATACGGATGAACCCAATATTTCCTACGCCTCTTCATTTTACGACGCCGAAGATGAAGAGCTAGGAGCATAAGGGCATCGTCCTCGTCGCTATATGTGAACATCATGAAATTGTATTTTTTTATGTGTTTTTGCCACATTCGCCAAACTAATTTTCACTGAATAACAGGAAAAATGTCAGTAAACTAAAATCAATTTTTTGATTTCATTTATGTACGGCGCCAAGTGTGCAGAAGTCGAGTCGTCATGCATTCGTGTCGGCATGACGGAACAATTACTCTACTATGACTAGGCGCTTAATGTGCGGAGTGCCTAAGGAGAATATAAACTTAGGCTATCTTCGCACTTGTCGTCCAATCATAGTTCCGTTATCGTCTCGCCCTGAAATTCTGAACCGAGCACATCCATTTCAAAGGAGATCTGCACACTTGGCGTTATCGGCTAGTAATCGGCAAATCGTAGAAGATGCAGAAACGGATAAGTACGGCACTGTCGTTTGCTAATCGTTGTGCACGCATTGTTTGTTTACATTTTATGGGGAAAACTAGTGAAAAGGTGAATATTTGCAAAAAAGTTTGTATTTTTTGCATAAAATCTGTGGAAATTGTTAAAAAGTGGATAATTGCATTAAGATTCAATAAATGTGAGCGTTTTACCTATAAAATATGACGAAATTGTAAAAAGTCTCTGTGTTCATGCTGTAAAATATTGGAAGGTGTTTAGTATTTTCTTAGCTCTACAGCCGCATTAATGTGAGCATTAAAATGCCCCACAATGATTCCAAAAGTAAAACGCAAACGTTGAGTCTTAAAGTTGGAATGTTTTATTCGGCTCATCGCCGTTCTTTTATATGCTTACAATCTACCTTATGAGTAATCTAATTTACAAACTTACATTTCTAAGTCGTTAGTCATGCTTATGATTCTACGTTGTTGTGCATGCATACATAAATGTATATGGGTTCAATCGAGTTTATGTTATTGGAGAAGTGCAGCGCAAGCTAAATTGATTTGAGTACTTTGGCCTAGTTATTGCCAAAAGTATATTGAACTTTTTACTTAATATTGTGTGAACATTTTGTTTTGCTTAGCTGTCATGCTACACC